CATCAGTCACTATCCTCCCTTGTGTTTATCCATATGTTGTAGTTATCCTAATCATTATAGGATTAGGATAATCATCCCCTTATTTATTGTAATCCTTATCTCCTAAGGAATATGCTTATTCTCTTGTATGTATATATATGTATGTGCACGTGATGAATAAGATATACAGAGTTACAACAAACCTTCTTATTTCACAACAATATAAACATAAATATGATCGAAAAGAGTTGAGTCGATAATCTATTTTTCCACGAAAAATATCGTATACCACCAAATGTCCACAGAATTATGACCATGTTCTATTTGTCCCAAAACAACGTTCAAAACCTATTTTTCTATCAAATCTTATATATTAAACAGAAATCATGACTTGACTTCATGTGTGATTTTTTCTTAAAAATGGACTATTACTAGAAAGTCATGTTACATTAACTCTCTAATAATCTTATCATTATTATATCTTATGAAAAATCATATATATAATAACAAATATACGCTTAACAATTTCGTTTTGGTAAATTATCCCACACCTTCCAACTTAATCACACAAAATATGTCAATAAATATAAGTTTAGGAATCTTGTATTATTTATAAGAAAATAAGTCAATAATAGTTAAATACATCCACAATATATTAACAAAAATCACATATTCGTAATATGGAATATTTGTATACCCTAACAAATTTTACACGTTATATATACTAGATAAATTTATTTTGATGTAAATTTTTAAAATTATATTTTTTTAAAAAAAAGAAGTTGTTTAAAAAACTCTTTTTAATAAAATTATTTATAATATTAATTTATGAATCTATAAGTTTAGTTTTTACCAAAAATTTCTTCGAAGTTTATATTATCTTATCTATTAAAACAGAAGTCATGACTTGACTTCATGTGTGATTTTTTAAAAAATAGACTATTACTAGAAAGTCATGTTACATTAACTCTCTAATAATCTTATGAAAAATCATATATATAGTAACAAATCTAATAATTTCGTTTTGGTAAATTATCCCACACCTTCTAACTTAGTCACGCAAAATATGTCAATAAATATAAGTTTAGGAATCTTCTATTATTTATAAAGAAATATGTCAATAATAGTTAAATGCATCCACAATATATTAACAAAAATCACATATTCGTAATATGGAATATTTACCCTAACAAAGTTTACACGCTATATATACTAGATAAATTTATTTCGATATAAAATTTTAAAATTATATTGTTTGAAAAAGAAGTTATTTTAAAAACTTTTTTAATAAAATTATTTATAATATTAATATATGAAGCTATAAGTTTAGTTTTTAGCAAAAAATTCTTCGAAGTTTATATTATCTTTGCAAATTAAAGTATACTAATATCTAATCAAACTCTATTTATATTAATTTATCTAAAAATGAAATATTAATCTAACAAACAATAAAATATTGAAAAAGAAATAAACACAGGTTTGAAAAACATGTATAATATAAAAAATTTGAAACAATCTATTTGATTAAAACATGTATTATATAATATTATTATGTTTTAAAAACATTTACTATACATATCGTAAATATGTGATTACTATAATATATACCAATTTACAAGGGAAAACAAAATGTTTATATAACTAACTATAAACGAAAACAAACATCCGCACGGTTGCGCGGGTCAAAATCTAGTTAAAGTTATATCGATATTTGCCATATTTATAAAGATTTAAATCTAAAAAAACTACAAAATCGATTTTTATTGGTTTATTGTTTATAAATAAACTGTAAATCATGTTAAGTTAATGACTAACCAGATTAAGATCCAATCAGTCGAATCTTTTTAAGTTTGAATGTTGAATCAGATTACTGTTCTGATCCAGATCAGGGTTTGGTCGGATTTTTAATTTTGTTTTGGTTTAGTTTTACTCGGTTTATTATATGAAAGTATTTGAAATTCGATTTTCAAAATTCATAACTAAACTAAATTTATTGGGGAAATATGTTTCAAATTTTATTCTTGAGGTAAATAAAAAGGGATCATAATTGGATGGATATTTAATGCTAGATTGCAACCCAAAAGAGTTAAAAGGCTTCTGTGTCTGTGTCCTCTCCCAACGTGAACAAGGAGATGGGAGTGGAGAGAGGAGACATCGATGTGCTTTGGAGTGTCTAAAAGAGAATCTCTATGTCTCAAAAATGGTTACACCTGCTCAACAATGGAGGATTTGGCTTACAGATCAATGAGAACGTGTTTGTGATTGTAGTCTTCTTAGGTGATAACAAAACAAACCGAGCTAATAATAATAAATCAAGCCGTTGCAACTCTACTTCCTCCTCTGCGTCCACGTCCATCAGGTCTCTCTGAATACTCTCTTCTCTGTTATAACCAACCAAAAAAAACGAAAAATATTGAATGATCTTAAAGAAATTAAAAACACCACATATAGAGACATCCATTTCTCTCAGGGTTTACTACTTACAAAAGGTCGAGTGTTGGGTCTAGAGTTTGAGAACTTCTGTCTCCTTCTAATAGACAACCTCTCAACTTCCTTCTTCTTCTCCTCTGCCTTCATTTTGGTTGGACTAGGCCGGTACAATATCACCGTCCTCCCGATTTGCCCCACTGCTACTGAACCTGTTGCTTCCTCTAAACGCATAACAGCGTCCTCTAGCTCCTCTGGAGATGTCTTCCGTATCTTCACCTGTTCCAATTAAAGAAAAGGCTCAAAGTCTGGTTTCCATCCATTTTCATATACAAACCAAACAACAACACAAAGGAATTAAGATCAACGCATGAACCCAACTCCAACAAAGCTTGATGTACTCCTAAACCTTTTTTTTTTTAATTGAATGATAAATTTATTCAAATAAAAAGCCATTTGTTTACATCTAGTGCAGCTTGCTCTGAATAGTAAAAAAACAAAATATTCTATAACTCTATGCCATGTTTTTTTGTAGCCAGGGTAGGCTTTGGACAAAGCCGGATGAAACATTGGCTTTGGCCCCCAATATTTTTTGAAAAAATTACCTGTATATAGGTCCCAAAAGAAAATTTTTTAGGCCCCCAAATTCGTTAAAAGATTTTTTTAGGTGAAATCGTGAAGAAATCTATTTAGGCCACATAATTCTCAGAGTAGGCCCTGCTTGTAGCAAACCAAAACATTTAAGTCTTCCTCATATTTTCTATCCCCCATTCTCTGAATTTGTTTCTCATATTCTTATCCAACAAGGGAATAAGCTCTGTATGATCTATTCCTAAATCATACACAGCTAAAGCTACCAGAGTTTGGTGATTTCAGAGAGAGATGTAAGCTCAAGGTTTGTGAGCTTGTTCCGGTTAAGATGAGAGTGTGTTACACAGTGCGATGATTGTGTAACACAATGCAATAAGTTTGGTACGTGTAATGATGTGGCGTAAACTTATGGAAATAGAAGATATTGCTTGGGTGCGAAGCAAAGAAGATCTTCTGGTTGGCGATATTTTAGGAAATAGAATATTGTCTTTTTCATGCCTACTTAACGAGGCAACCTAAGAGTGTTTTAGGTTATGCGTTAAGAGAGAAAAAGCTAGAGCAAGAGAGTTGTTCTTGTCGGCTACAGAAATCGAGAAAACAGGGGTTTGGCTTGGGTTTCTGTAACTTAGAGATTAGGAACTGGTCCGTCGCTAGTCGTGTGTGACTGAGCTTAAATCGGATTAAACAGATCTAGGAAGATTGTTTAAAAGGTTTCTAATATACAAGAAGTGTTCTTGAATAACTTGTGTACTGTTCTTATTTGCGTGTCTCTGAACTTTCATTTGGTATCAGAGCGGGAAACCTCTGTGGTATCAAGTACTACTAACAGGTTGAGATCCTGCGGATTTCATGGACACCATGAAAGAACTCCTACACATACACAAGCCCATTATGCTTGACAGTACCAACTTCGGTCACTGGAAGGTGAGGATGCAACACATCATCAGAGGAGTTGATGAAGATGCTTGGACGTCTGTAGAAGATGGTTGGAGTGCGCCTACTGTCATCCTCGAAGATAAGACTGTCGGTCCAAAACCTAAAAATCAGTGGACTGATGGTGAGAAGAAAGCATCAAAATTCAACTCCA